TTTTCGAACGATATAGAATGTTGTTGAATTTCTTGACAAAGGTAACCACATTTCTAGTTAAGCTAATTAGGATCGGAAAATGGATAGTTTTAGAGAGACAAATGGAAATTAGGAGTATATTCTTCCCTAATAGATTATCGGCTATTTGGATTTTTTGAGTATTATGTGGCATTAGACGCTTTTATTTATTTTCTTTTAACGTTATAAAAAAAAAAAAGATGTAAAGGGTTTAAAGAGTCTTTTAACATTTTTTAATAGAATTAATAATTAAGAAAATTGAGAACTAGGTTTACGTGAAAGAAGAAGAAAATTGAGAATTAGGTTTACGTGAAAAAGTATTACTTATTTAGCATTTAATGTACTCTGTCACGACGGTATTTTCCAATTACTATAATTGTTATTATGTTTGTCATTTAATTGCCAACTTGATGGATCATTTGTCGGGCAATGCTAGAAAGGACTTATGAAAGTGATAGAATAGTATATTTACGGAGCAATTATTTTTGTTACACTTGAAGTTAAGTGTCACAATTTTTTTTACAAGATTAAGAAAATCCCTCCGGATGCTTATTATTAAAGGACAATCTCACCTAAAAGCTTAAGTTGATAGGTGAGGTTCTAGAATATAATTTATATTAGTCTCTAACACATCCCCTTAAGTGAAAGGTCCAACATTTGAGACATGAAACTTGCACGGGTTCATATTGTCTTGTGCTTAATATTTGAGAAATTGGAGATGGTGAGACTTGAACTCGGGACCTCGAGGTCAACCAAGCTCGATACTATATTAAACGATCATCTCACCTAAAAACTTAAGTCGATAGATGAAGTCCTAGAATATAATTTATATTAATCTCTAACACTTATCAACTCGTTAGTGAAAGATTCGAGCCATATCGGTGAGTAAAATTTTTTGCAAGTGGTAGTAGATTTGGAAAGTTTATAATAAATATTGCAAAAAGTGTTAATATATAGTTGACTACTTGAAGCACAAAATCCTCCTAGCATCTCAATTGTAGATGTTATTTAGGAGAAATTGATGGCAATATTCTATACACTTAGAGAAGAATCAATCACATGGATAAAGTCTTGCATACCAAGTATGGATAGTGTGATTAGAAAGCATATTTTACAATCTCATATATGTTAAGTCTCTCTTTCCGATCTAAATTTGTTTGAGATTGATAATGGTAAGAATCATGCAGTGAACTTAAAAAGACCATGAATTGTAGTTGTAAAATGTAGAACACAACTAAAAATTATTTATGTCACAATGGTTTGTGAGAAAATTGAGACGAAAATTATGAATTATTGTTCTTAATATTTCAAAATTGAGTTATGAAAGTTAGCATATACGAAGTCTATTAATTCACTGTCTGATGATGACATGCCAGTCACCTTTGATGATGATCTTCCAGAAACGCTGCAACAAACTCTTATACCCATACGTACACGGTCAAACATTTTTTATGATGATCTTCAAGAAACTCTGCAACAAATTCTTATATTTTTTTCTGCGTAAACGCCCAAATCGGCCAAAAAGGAAGAGAAATGAGTTACAAACAGAGGCTAAACGACCACTACGTTGCAGCAAGTGTAAAAATATAGGTCATAATGGCTTGACTTGCAATAAAGCTATTTAGATTAATGGATTAAGTAAAGATCGAGTAGCTTGGTTTGTCATAACTTCTTTCTTTTTCTTTTTCTTTTCTTTTCTTTTTTTTTGGTAAACATTGTCACAACTACTTTGAAAGTTAGCATTCTCCTTGTTTTCAATATTTTTCATGTTCGTTTTGTTCTTCAAGATTTATCAATGATTTTATCGTTTTTCTTTTGACGATACTACAATATGGATTTTGAGAGTATTTTATTTTATTTTAATAGTTTAGTTGGATTATAAAAACTTTATTTATGCCACTTTGTTACTTTAGCAAAATTTTATGGATATCTCCATAGCCAATTCTAATACCAGAGCATTTTTATCAAAATAATTCTCATTTCCTTGTTTTGACCAACTTATCTCAAGCTTTAGTTTTTAAACCCCATCATGTGGCTAACTTCGTAGTTTTTTTACCATTGATGCATTCAGTACATATTTTAATTTATGACAATAATTTGTCTATAGTATTTTATTCAATTTCTAGTTTCTTGGTAAAGAAGAACAGTTTTTTTTAAAAAAAAAAAAAATTGTATCTATCTAGTCAGAGTGCATCTTAATTGCTAACTAACTAAAACTCCCCAACTCTAGCAAAATTATAGGTTCATGTTCATGACCAAAACATAATGTTAACTATTAATGGGATTAATATAAAAAGGGTCTTTCTTTGGTTACCAGGACTGATGTTGGTGTCATTTTTCGGAACTCCAGGATTGTTTGCTAGCTAGTTTTGCAATGGTTTAACGGTAAAATTTGCCTACATTCTATTGAGATTTGGTAATTTTGGCCCTATAATATCAAATTACGTAATTTGAATTTTAAAATATTCGAGGTTGGATAAATGTAATTCAAAATATACAATATTCGTTTTATGTAATGGTTAGTTGGGTTAATCGTTACTTGGAATACCAAAACGATGTCGTTTTGATATTCCACCATTAGTTATGTTTTTTTACAAAAAATATTTTAAAAATATGTTTAATCCCCCAACCTTGAACTTTTTTTCCTTATAAAATATTATAAACATTTAATAAATTATATATAAAAAAACATTTTATAAGTATTTTTAACCCCTAATTTTGAACTTTAAAAAAAAAATTATAAAATGTTATTGTAAAAAAATAATTAACAATACACAATTTCAAACCTTAAAAAAATATTTTATAAATTAGAATAAGCATAATTAAGGATTGACCCCTCTAATTTTATAAATTATATAAAAAAATTATAAAATATTTATAATATTTTATTAAAAAAGGTTCAAAATTAGGGATTAAAAATATTTATAAATTTTTTAATATATAATTTATAATATTTTATAAGAAAATATTTTGTAAAAAAATCAAGATTAGGGAGTTAAAAATATTTTTAAATAATTAAAATGAGCATAATTAAGGGTTAACCCCCTAATTTTATAAATTATATATATATTATTAAAAAAAGTTCAAAATTAGGGGTTAAAAATATTTATAAAATGTTTTTTATATATATTATTTATAATATTTTATAAGAATTTTTTTTAAAAAAATTCAAAATTGGGAAGTTAAAAGTATTTTTTAAATAATTAACAACGGAATGTCAAAACGAAATCATTTTAGCATTTCATGTAACGATACACATAATAGAGATTGAGCAATTTGGATCATATTTGCCTCATTTCTTAATACTTTGGGATTCAAGTTATGCGATTTGGTATTATGGATCCGTAATCGCCAAATCGTAATAGAATTTTGGTAAAAATTGCTATTAAACCGATTGCAACTAGTGCTGAAATTTAAAATGCTCTTGTTGCTGAACTTGGCTATAAAAAATTAGATTGGAACTAGCTTGGAAAATAGATGTCAAAGAATTTCAATTAGAAGTTGATTCTCCAGAAAATAATGGAGAGGTTGGAGTGCATGCCATATTAATGAAGTATATTACGCAGCTGTTGTGTAGGGACTGGAGAGTTGGCGTCATCTCTAATGATTATTGTGAAGCCAATTTTCGTATAGATAAATAGGCTAATTAATGCTGTAAATACTGAATAAATTTTAATCTATATCATAAAATAGGTATCCTACATCTGATTAATGTGAACGTGTGGATACTGTAGATGTAGTATGCCACATTGTGTTGATTTTTTTTTTTTAATTTTGAAAAAAGAATAGCAGCATGCACCCAGGAGTGTAGGACCACCAAAATCCACAGATGAACACAACACTGTCATACTCAATTGTTCTTCTTGCATCTGCATTCAATGAATGAATTAAATGTATCCCTATATATATATTGTTTGATAAATAAAAGGTCCATCCAGTTTGGAGACTGTCGATGCTTTTCGACGTCATTAGAGCCATGGGACCTTAATTAGAAGCCCTAGTTTGCAATCAACCAGTTATACACGTGTGTTGGAGATAGAGAGAGTGGTAGTGACAATTAGTATGTTCATTTTTTGACTTCAAAAGCTAGTTTGATGCATCAAATACTCTGAATTACTCTATTGTGTTTTTTGGCATTATATATGCATATTGAAAATTTGAAGGGAAAAAATGATTTTAATTAGTTGATGGGGGGAGCAAATCCTGACAAATCTTGGATATAAATCTAGCTAGATCCATCTGGGCTGGAAATGAAACAATCAGTTAAAATTTTAAAAGAATCGAGATAAATTAATTTTGGACTGGTCCCTGGTGAGCTTGGATTTGCAGGATGAGCATGTTATTTTCAACAAGGTGGAGGAACCGCTAGATTGATTAAAGTTTAGCATTTTGGACTGATGAAAGTTGAAGACAAACTCAGTTCTGTCTGCAATTTGGATCATATTATTACCAGATTTACAAAAAAGTAATCTCAACCCTCCAATTCTGTCTTTTTTCAAGGGTCATCTGGGATCAAATTCCAGGTTTTTTTTGTCCATCATGAGAGAGAGAATTCATTCATAGGAAAAATAAGTTCATCCCATAGAATAAAGCACGTGCCCTACGATAGCCCATAACTGATCCAACTGTATCTTGCAAACCGTTATTTCCACTGTTCTATCCACAACTAAACGAAACCATGGTGTAAATTTGCTTATTTTCACTTGCACTGACTATTGGGGACTTTTGTAGACCAAAGAAAGCCCTGCTTCAACTATGAGTTCTTTTTGCTCAAAACTCTTCTTGACTCAACTTGAAATTCTAAGAAGCCTCACAATTCCTCTCGACAAGTAAATAAAAGTAGATTATTCCTCATGTTGCGTTTGAATTCAAGAGAAGGATATGAAAAAGAAATTTCCAAGTCTCTAAATATGAATGTTCTGCCTAAAACCAGCCTGTAGTCTTAGATACAAGAAAGTCGGTGCCAGAATACCCTTTTAGCTTCAGCTTCTGCCCACCGAAAAGGGCAAAAACTGATACAACAGTGAGCGATGATACCAAGCAACATCACGAGCATTATGGCTGGTTAAACTGACTGCACCAGCCAGTCAAAACAGCAACATCCACAAACTCCCAACTTGAAACAACAATTAACATTTGGCAATCATTGGAAATTAATCTGTTTCATGATCCAAGCAACTGCTCAGGTTGCGGTAAGTGAAAGGGCCAATGAAGCCCCTGCAGAAGAGAATTAATTGTTACTCTGAATGAAAATTACAGGGAAACTCTAATCTCTATCTTTTAAACCTAGACCTACCCTGTCAATCGAGCAATTTCATTAGCAATGTTAAATTACATTTGTTCTTTAAATTACCCCCTGCCTTTCTTTGCAGGATGACCAGTCTTCCGCTTGTGCCGACTGAAATCAGACACAAATCTGAATGTTTGCCCACAGCCTTCCTCAGCACACACATATGGGCGAGCACCTGTGTGAACCCTGATATGTTCGGTACGGGCCCATGCCCACTTGAATGTCATCTTGCATCCCTTCCAAGGGCACTTGAGAGGGCGGTCATCTATGTGGACTCGGCGATGCTGCACTAGATATTTGTGTGAGAAGAACTTCTTTCCACACCCCTTGACTGGACAAACATTTCTTTTGTGCATTGCAAGCTCTTGTTTTGTTCCAAAACTCATTGTGCAACCATCAATGTCGCACTGATATTCTGCTTCCTCGTCTTTAATTTTAACATTCTTTCTGCCAACTGCTGCCTTCACTGCTGAAGCATCCTTCGCTTTTTTCCTACTGTTTTGCTGCTTTTCTTTCAGCTTTGTTTCCAACTGTTTTGAAGGCTTCGAGGGTCTTTTCCTAAGGCGCGTGCTAGGTCCACCTTCTACCTCCTCTTCAGCATGTGAATCAAACTGGCTAGCATTCAGCTCACTTCTACCAATCCGAAGTTGAGGAGACTCTTGCTTTATTTGCCTTTGTTTCATTAATTGCAGGGTCTCTTTCTTTATCATCTTAGGGGCACTCCGTTTCAGTTGCCTAGGACTTCTTTGTTTCATTTGGCGAAGTGTTGCAGGTTTCTTCTCCTTGCTTCGAAGAATCCTCCTGTCCTGCTGATCAGAATTATCCTCCAGCAAGTCATCTGAAACAGAATCTTCCCTCTCAAAAAATTTGGCTTGCTTGCCTCTAGGTGTCTTCCTAGGATGCCGATGAGTATTATTCACCCACAGATCATCAGAAACTACATCTTCCCTCCCAATAAAGTTGGCCTTTTTGCTTTTCAGAATTCTTCTGCGATGCTGACAAGTATCATCCTCCTGCAGATCATCTGAAGCTGCATCTTCACTCTCAACAAATTTGGTCATTTTGCTTCTAGGAAGTCTTCTGTGCTGCCAGTGAGTATTGTCGTCAAGAGAATCATCTGAAATTGCATCTTTCCCTTCAACAAACTTGGCTTGCTTGCTTCTAGGAATCCTTCCATGGTGCTGATGGATATTGTCCTCCGATGAATCATTTGAAACTGCATCTTCCCTCTCAATTAATCTCGCTAGCTTGCTTCTAGAAAATCTCGGGAGCTGCTGATATGTACTTTCATCCAATGAATCATCAGAAACCACATCATCCCTTTTAATAAGTTGGGCTCGTTTGCCTCTAGATATCCTCCTATTATGCCGATGAGAGCCATTCTCCAATGAATCATCTGAAATTGCAGCTTCCTTGTCAATATATTTTGATTGTTTTCTCCTAGGAACCCTCTGCAGTAGCCAACGAGAACTCTCCTCTGGTGAATCATCTGAAATTGCATCTTCACTCTCAGTATATTTTGCATGAGTGCTTCTTGGAGCTTTCCCATGCCATTGAACACGATTATCATCCAGTGAGTCATCAGAAGCCAAACATTGTCTCTCGAAACATTTGGCTTGGTCACTCTTGCGAACCCTCTTAAGCTGCTTTCGAAACTTGTTCTCCACTGAAGCATAAGAAACTGTATTTTCCATCTTGATAGATTTGGCTTGCTTGCTTCTACACATTCTCCTATACTGCTGACGAACATGCTCTGCTAATGGGTCATCTGAAACTGCATCATCACTCTCAACAGATTTGACCCATTTGCGTCTGCAGCTCCCATGCTGCTGATGACTATCCTCCACTAAATCAAATGAAGCCTCTCTCTCAATGTATTCAGTGTTTTTGCTATTATGAATCTTCATATGCTGCCTATGAGAATTATCCCCCATTGAGTCTTCTGAATCTGCTTCCAGACACTTTACTTTCAGAACTGACCGACTCCCTGCTGTTATTTTCCTCTTCCTCCCAAAATTTCTAGTTGTTTCAGTTTTGTTGATGGTTTGTGGTTTTTTCTCAAGCTTTTCATCGGGTGTTGCCAAAGCATGGAAGCTTCTTTCTTGTTCTTGTTCATGATCTTGATCCATGCAATCCCTTTTCACTAGAAAGGGATGAACTTGATTTGACATCCAAACTTTTCCACACCATTTCCCTGCCACAACTTTTTTTGGCTTCCCAGACCTCCTTCCATAAACCTTAAATTTTTGGGGCAAGCTAACTGGAGAAGCACGACCAAAGGCATTGTATATAACAGAATTGTATGGCATCTGCTTACTATAAAGAGGAGATCGGCTGAGGTTGGCACTGTAAAAGAGATTGATCCCCAACTTTACAGCCCAGTCCCCATTCCCCGGTATGGCTTCCTCACTGTCCAAAGCTGACTGGATCTTCTCCTCATCCTCTGTGGCAGCATCCCTGAAAGTAATGTCATTCCACAGATGATCAATTCCCAGCTCTTCTGACACTAACTTTGCCTCTGCTTCAATCCTGGGATACTCTGTAAAATTTTCACAAAAAATGAATTCTAGTAAACAGAAAATATGTAACGTCTTGCTACAATAGTTGATATAAATTGAAGAGGAAAGACTTGGGCATAAATACACCAATCTGCTGAAAAAACTTTGATGCATAGAGTTGCCATGTGATCACGTGATATGCTGTTCCTTCTCTTAAAAACACAATCCCAATGATCACATTCTCTTCAGAAATGGGAATCTTGTTGCTAAGCAACCAGGATGATTGAAAAGGAAGACAAGTCTCCAAGGGATATAAAGCCCACACAAACAAGAGGAAAATTCTTGACTCATAAACCCTTTTTCCAAGCATGGATTGTTGTATTAGAGGCTCAATATAAGCTCTTCACTTATGGTTCTGATATAGGAAACAGTGTTTTGTTTAATTTTTCCCCAATTAAAGATTTTACAGATACCTTGTCTTGTAAAATAAACTTCCTTTTTTTTTTTTTTTTCTTGTATGGATAATAGTTCCCTTGGTGCGCTTTACTAAAACTTTGGCTTATTATGGAGATTATCGTTCACTTGGCGCTAATCAAGACCAATCTAAGAGAGCCACATGAACCATGCAGTGGAACAAAATAGTAAATGAAACTCTAAAGTCTAAAACATTATGAACTGGTATAAGGTACGGATTCCCTTGAAACATAAAAGCGAAACAAAAATCAGGTGCGTATTCCCCATCCTAGGGTCAGTCTAGCCACTTGAATATTACAAACCAGCTGTACTGGTATGACTACTACTCAATATCTCCTGATCTCTACATTCGTACTTTGCGGTGCACCACCAAAAGAGTTCTTCATGAAACTTGATTTTGAAATAAGAACAAACAATAGAAAAGAAGGAAACCAGAAAGGAGAGAAGGTAGTGCTCATTATATGTATGAAAAACTTCTATGGCCTCAACTATATGAAGGAGATTTAAAGAAAAACACACCTGGATGACAGAGAAGCAATATATGTACTCCACCCATTTGACGAAGTTGCTGTTCTGTCTCTACAGCATGCTCAAGACAGAACACATGCATGCACGAAGAATCTTTATCAGATCTTTGGGTAAATGGCAAGTCTGGATTCTCTATCGATTCAATAGGCCTGTTGAACTTTGTTTTTTCAGCATCATGGACAATTGGGGAACAATTTAAAGACATGTGTGGCACTGACATCGGATCTCTGTATCTACCATCCAAACCATCTGATTCAATGGAAGCAGGGTTATTGGTTGGAAAGCCAAAAGAACACTCAAGTGTATCATCACCTCTGTCCTTGACATTATCTCGTCTATCTCCATGTTCTGGATACATATCGATAGTTTTGAGAGCAATATCATCCCGCTCATCAAGTCTTGATGGAGATAGCAGGTGACCGCCAGTTGAAGCATCATAGTACTTCTGCTTGTAAGAAGGGAAAGCAGAACTCTGATGCTGATATTTGCTGTCTAATGAACAGTTTGTCATGTTAATTTCATCATGGAGCTGTAGATCTGCTTCAACCTGATCTTCCTCAGAGTCTGAAGAATTTCCATAGTTCAAAGCTAACAGGCCAAGGGCAGAAGCCTCTATCTGTTTTTCAGCACTGGAAGCCACTTCAATACTTTGATCTGCCATCTGAATTTGGTAATTAAGAGATCGAGCAGGGGCATTATATAAACCAGCTGTGGTATTCTTTTCCACCCATCCTGTTTTAGAGCAAAGATATCCGAGTTGAAAACTAGCAGCTACAAGAAGGAAAGCAAGAACCAGAAAAGAAAATATATAGAAAGACAAATGCAATATGCAGGTTAAATGTTATATGTAGCTGGTTAAAGAACTGTGTCGATATAGAATGATTTTAGGCAGCAGAATATGCAGTTCCATCTAAAACAGGTCCAGCGCACCAATATTTCCCCTAAGAACATTATTCTGGCATACAGCAGATATTATTTTCATCCACTCAACATCGTTTGACAAATCCAAACATTTTTCCTTGCCCATTTCAAGCCAGAAAGAGACAATTCAGGGAAAGTATTGTATAGATAAAATTATCATCTAATCCAGAGAACTTGTAAACATGACCACTTTGTTTTCTGATGAATTCCCACTTAGAAAAAATTTATTTATTTATTTCATATTAACACACTGCAACTGATCTGTAACATATTGGCCCATATTTTCATATTTATTTTCCTCCAAAGAACAAACATGCTCTTTCCCATAATCCCTTTCCTGACCTTCATGAATATCAACAAATACCACAGCATCAAGAACAGAAATTCTGACTACCAACTGATATGCACACATAAAAAGAAAAACAATAAAACTTAGTCTTTAAAAAGCATCATCAATGATTTGCAAGAGGATTAAGGTAATCATTGAACTAAGATCCACCTGCCCAAATCCTTCCTCTTCTTAAGGTCAGGTCTTGACCAGAGGCTTCAACATTGGTATACTGATGCTTTGGGTCTGTATCAGGCAATCCAAATTTGAAACAATGCATTATCATTCAATTAAACAGATGGTTGGGGTCCTAAACTACGAACCACTTGACTTTGACTACTACGTTAACAGTGTGATAGAGGCAAGTAACAAAAGAGGTAGGGTTTCCATCAAACATACTTGTTGAGGAATTATGCTCTGAAATATTTGCAGTCCCACCAGCAACAGAAAAAACATTCCTAGTTATTCCAGAACCAACGACCCAATCATTAAAGAAGCTACAATCAGCTGACATGAGGTATCTAGAAGCTGCCTCTTTCGGTTGAATGATGGCAAGACAATCGAAGCTCAAAATTCCACATGTGACACATGAAAACAGTCTCTGATCTGACAACTTATCACTAGGAATGGAACTACCTGTTTCAGTGCCCATGTTCATACTCTGCAAGCATTCATTTCCATTTAATGTGGAAAATCTATTTCTTTCACACAAAGAAGCAAACTTTGCTTTCACTGAAAAGAAGCCTGTCACTTGATTGATTTCCTGGTTCTTGTCCGGCAAGATGTCACCAGAACCTGAGCTTTTTGATGATTTCATAACATCCTTTTGGCTGCATAATCCAAGGGTAGAGTTATCTCTTAAATGGGATCCAACTCGTAATTTTGAACAAACAGAAATGTCTGAAGAACTTCGAGGAAGAAGCACCACTGAAGATCCTTTTCCAAGCATATGAAACAGGTTGTTATTCTGTATCATATTTTTCACAAATTGCTCTTTAACCAGCGTTTCTCCTTCACCCTTTTGCTTATCTTTCAGTCTCGAACTCCGTGGTTTTGCACTGATGTTCACGGGTATTCTGGAAGGGAGAAAATAATAACTGAGGACTCTATAATCATAATGAATATTCCATATGGAATAAACTGCAGCATCCTAAAATAGAAAGTCTACAGACCAGATCACATGCTAGAGAAACTCAGCTAGGAATAAAAGTACTGAATAGACTTGGATCAACTTAAGTAATGAATTAACAAATAATGAGGTGCCACTATGAAAAAAATTCTTAAAAGTAAAATTTAAGTTAGATTTCTTTCCAGCAGTGCGGTGCTGAAGATCTCAAACTCTACTGAGTTTCAAGCATAGTACATATAGAATAATGATTGAAACTCTCGCTATGTTATGTTTACAGCACAAAGTTTATCGAAAACGATAGAAAGTCTGAGCTTGAAATAATCTAATTTGTGAAGGCATCGTGCCTCCAAATAGCCCACAGGCAAGGTATTGAGAGAATTGTACTGCCAATTCAACAACCAAGAGGAAAGTAGCAAATGTTCAATCAAGATACCTTGTACAAAATTCGAGTGCAAGATCATAAAGTAACTGGAAATGAGACACCATAGGAGGGTAATTGATTGAAGCTCTTCGAATAGCAGCATCTTTAGCTACCATCAACCATTCAGGCGTTGCAATATTAGCTGCCTCCCCGCAATTGAATCCTGGATGCCAAAAGTAATGGATGAAGCAAGTACTTGCATCAGTCAACAAAAGTAACAACAGCACAATCATTGTCCCAAAGAGAAATACGAAAGTGAAATATAAAGGCAACTTACCATGGCTGAACCCTGAATGATAGGCTCTTGGGAAAGTGACCACAAACTCCCCAGCATTTTGAACTAACCTGTTTGGAGCAACTGGAAGCATTAGAAATGCAGAGATAAAATTCATGCCACATGCAAAACGTTAAAGGCTCTATGCAAGTATTATGGCTTTTGCTTTAGGCAGTGAAGAGAAGAGTTGAGATGAAATTCCAGGTCCTTAAAATATTACTTTTGAATGAGTGATCCTCTTTCCCTGCACTTCAACTCAATTGTCAATCATACTGAACTGCTAAATAATCAATCACATTTAATTAAGTCTTGTAAATAGCATCCTAAAAACCTAAAGTTCGTATGTAAATGACTGGCCCATGCAATGAAATTTAAGGAAGTTGTTAGAAAGTTCAAGGAGAGCACTTAGGAGCCGAACAGGGAAAGGATTAAGAGGGTACCTGCAGCATGGTACACCTGCACTGATAAATACTTCAGGTGGCATTACTGTAGTCTTCTCACCAAGAACTGCAAATGTAACTGATAGAAGGCAGGTGAGAGTGAAGTTCGGTACTTAATTAGAATGAATCCTTAAAATAAAGACAACTATCACCTCTTGATTTTAAAATCAAAACTTAAGTTGCTTTCACTCAGCACAGCAGTCAATAAACCACTGTATGACTTTTCTTTCAAAAAAGAGCAGGATAATTAAGGAGGATAAAAAGCAATAGTCTCATCAATTAATCTGTATCCCGCATAGAGTGCATTTTTGTCAAACATGAATCCTACATCTTCTAAGTGATGTATGAAAGTATCGCTGGAAAGTCACAAAAGCATCCATTCTCATAAGGAAGAAAAAATGCGTTTGTTTCTTCATCTTGAGAGGATAAATTCAAGTGACAGGAATAAGGAGATGGAAGAGCTAGAGGTTGCTCACATTGGTGGCATCTATTGTGGGTAGAATGCCAAGAAAAGTTCTAAGGCAACTAAGCAGGAGTGGATGGACGGGTGGGGTGGCAGGAAAGTACCCAAAAAAAAAAACATATACTAGTCTCTTCTACTAGCATTGAATTTTTTGCAGTTGAAGATATTACATATAACTTGGTTGGAATATGTCTCCAGCTATCTTGTGCCCCCAATTCATTTCAAGTGACTCAAACTAGCAACTAAGAGTTACAACTAGATACAGCAATCTAGCAGGACTAAACACAGACAAGACCCTTAACCGAATGCTCATTAAACCCTAAGCCACGCCCTCCATATGGTAAAAACACTTGAGGAAAAAAAAATCCAAGGTAAAGGCACAAGACATGCACTACAAATTTCTCATACCTAGTTGGATCACACAATATTCATGAAAATGCGAAAGTAAGACAACAAATTCAATATCTATCACAGCTGCTTAAACTTCAAGAATATAAACTTTATAGATTCAACCAAGGACATGTCTAGTACCAAACAAAATCATTCCTCAAAAGCACCATCAAACCTTAGCTCTCGAAGCAAGTTGAATGCACAAATTAAAGTCGACCCAGACCAATAAACCACTGCCATTCTTGCAAGTATATTCTCCATGATCTATCCTAATGACTTACATCAGTTGCTCAAAACATTTCCAGTTCTCACAATTGTCAAAACATATTGTTGAAATAGACAAGCAATAACAGCTAATCCTTGCTACACACCTACAATATTCCTAACTAGATTCTACAAAATTCACAACGGGCGTGTAAAAAAAGAAAACATAAAACTACCAATGCAATTAAAACAAGGAAATAAATATCCCCAAAACAGGGGAGTCTAATTACTAGTAGTTCCAGTATTTGCATGTATTTTTTGGGATAAATAATATTGCATGTACTTGTATGAAAAAATATATATATAAAAAAACCTTACCAAGAGGATTAATTTCTCCACCATACCCATGAACCCGAACAACTTCCTCAAATGCAACAGCAGCTTCTCTAGGCACACCATACCAAGTCTTCCCAGCACCCATATGCATATAATTCAAGCTATGCAAATCATGATCCTCAACATGCCAAGCGAACCAACTAAACATCATCCCAATATAAACCATAGGCGAAGTAACCCCAGGTATTTCCTCCTTCATAAACCTCAACAAGGACCCTTTTGCCCTTGAAACTCCCCTCATATTCCACTCAGTTTCCCCCACACTCATTCCTTCCCCAACAACCCCTCCTAGTCCCTCCTTTTTCCTCGGCGAAAACGCAGAACCAGGCATATCGTTAGCATATTCTACAGCAAAAGGCTTATCTAAAGTAGCTTTCCAATAAAGGGTTTCAATTTCTAATGGAGAAAGAGTTCCCTTCTTCGAGAACTTCTTCAAATAATTCTTCTCAAAGGTTCTAGCCTTGGTTTCAAATTCTTGAAATGTGTAGGTCTCACCGCTCTGCCACACGGGTTTCTGAACAGGGCGGGGTTTCCTGGGGCAGAATCCGATCTGCTGCTGCCGTGTGGTGAATGTGGGGGCGGAGGAACCACCGTTACGGGCGCAGAGAGAGCGGTTGAGGTTAGAAAGAGTGGTTTTTTTAGCAGAGGGTAAGACTGGAGGGATAATTTTGCAGATTCCATATTGGGAAGCTTCTTTTTCAATTTTGAAAATGTAAGCAATTGGATCTTGGAATTCAGATAGTGTGGGATGGTATTCAGGTGCTAAAGGTAAGTTCTTTAGCCATTGACATACTTCTGTAGTAGTTGGAGGTTGTGGTGGGTCTAAACTTAACCCACTTGGAGCTGCCATTACAAACAAAAAGATGAGAACTTCCTTTTTTGGGTTTTTCTTGGTTTCTCAAATGAAGTCCATTGTGGTATGTACTTGGTAGAGAGAGAGAGAGAGAAGAAGAAGAAAAAGAAGAGGGAGGAGGTGGTTAGATTCTCAGCTGCACTTCATCTTTGTTTTAATGGTGTTTCTGTTTTTGGGTTTTATTTTCTTTCTTCTTTTCTTTCTTTTTATGTTTTTGTCCTCTTTGGTTTTTTGGGGTTTTGCTCTGTTTTAGTTACTAATTTATTTATTACAGAGTGGCAGAGGGCGGTGAAAATGGAGGGCAGAGGAGAGGGGTAAGGCAAAGAGAGTGGAAGTGAGAGTGGAAGAGGCATGTGAGTGGGGTTTCGTTCTGGTTTTTGGGAATGGGGGGAGAGTGCGTGAATGCCACTCACTTTTGTTGTTATTTACCGTTTTTTTTTTTTTTTTTTTTTTGAAAAAAAAACACAAACAATATTGGAGACAAGTTTTGGATGAAATACATTTTAGTCCTACTATTTTCTTATCTAATATTTCACTTTCATCCTTAAAAAAATTTTTGTAATGGGAGAGACCGACTCGTTGCATTTTAGTGGATTGGGCTAATACGTGCGAACATTCTATGAATGGCCATTTCATTGACACTCCCTAAATTATTTTTATTTTTTTCTTATTTCAACTCCTGAATTAAATAGGGTGTTTTGATTGACACTTTTTTCATTACATTTCATTCATTTTTCATTAAACAACATATGAGTTACACACGTTTTCTTATAAAATGTTAGAATATCATCAAAATTTGATTTTAAAAAAAAATCATACTTGTATCAAAATTATGATAAAAACATCATTTAAACTTATCTTGAAAAAATTAATCCTTAACAATTTTACAACTTTTTAGTGTTTTTAAAATAAAACACAATTTATGGCTAAATAAGACGATATGTCAATCAAAACACCCTATATTTTGAAGGTTGAATTCAAGAAAAAAAAATATATATATATATATATATATATATATATATATATATATATATATATATATATATTTAATCGATGTCAATCAAAATGACTTGTAATTTAAGATGTACAATTTCACCATTGAATTGAATTAGAATGTTAGTTGAGTCAAAACAAAGAGAGGAATGTTAGCATAAGTCATTTAGAAAACCACTAGAAACACTCTTTGGTAGAAATACTCTCTTGGCGATAATGGACCAAAAAAAAAAAAAAAAAACCTTGAAAATGGCATAGTTTTAACCATTAAATTTTAATTTCTTTTTTTTTAACTAAATAAGGAAATATATTATTATCTTTCTTTTTCCCTTATTTGTAAGACTATATCTTATCATAAACTGTGCAATTAACAACTATTTAGATCCTAGATTCGCTTTTAATTAGTTTTCTTGTTTTTTCTCAATAAATTTAACTTTAAAAATATCTTTAAAACAAGTTTGAAAATAAGTTTGATGTTTAACTTCCTTCATATTTGCTTGCTCAATGAACATTAATTCTTAATATCATGTTTTTTTTTCCTTAAAATCATATGGAGATTTGATTTTAATTTTAATTATAATCATACAACTTAGTTTCATCTCTATAAGGATCTGTGCTCATAAATATATGTTTTATCATCATGGCTCGTGCCATTTTAATAATATATTGTATTTTAATTAAGTTTATCACTTTAAAAGGATTATATTTGGCCTATAAAAAATCAATCTAAAGTCTAATGTTAATGCCATAAACAATGGAAGCTGAAGGTGATTGTCAATAGATGTGAACTTTTTTTTCTAAATTTGAATTTAGTTTTAAAATTATTATTGAGTGTGCAAATGAACCTATAAGAAAAGAAAATACATAATCTATAAATTAAAAAAATAGAAAAAAAAAACACATAAGTACGCCATGTTTTTATATGTTCAATAAACGGCTTACATTAGTTAGCAGGGGAGATTTTGCATTAGAAAGTGAATTTTTTCATATTAACTTTTGATTGACGTTTGTATAAATATTCTTGACATATGATGGAATAATTTTCTTTAAAAAGAAAAAAACAAGAAAGAAAAATTACAATGACTTTTTAGGGCCTAGAATGATTTTAAAATACTTTTAATTATCATAGAAGTGATGAATGAAACAAAATTTTAAAAACAAAATGATGAATGGAGTTTGGTCCGTGTTTCTAATCGGCTAAGTATTTGCCATTGTCCTTTTCTTATGTGTGTTCTTTAAATTATTACTTAAATGATTTATCAATTATATTTCACTTTGGCTCATTTATAAGATATGAGTCCCTAGTGACAATCCAACTAACAATCATTAGCATTTTTCAAATAAAACATAGCTTAAATCATGGTGTTTATAGCTTATTTCAATTATGATTTGTTTTATTGTTGTTTATTTTATGATGATTGTTTTTGTGATTTACGATAAGTAATTGTGAACAATTTGTTTTATACTCATTATAAGGCTTAAAGGTGTGGAGGGGGTTTTTGAGAATTGATCAAACAATTGATCGACAGAGTTAGTCAAGATATAGAGAGCTAGTGTTATGATAGCAAAAGTCAACCAACCAAACAGAAAGGATGTAAATAGTGAGAGGTGTGGGAAGAGAAGCATGCAATACTAACAAAGCACAAGTCAAGTGACTAATAAGTGGGTAGTCAAGGTCTAAGTAGATGGAGTTTTAGGTATTGTCCGATGTGTGAGTATGAGAGTTTTGAGATAAAGAGCTTAGGTGTTTTTTTTTGCTAAAGATTAAAAATTCTAAAGTAAAAAATTCTCTAATACAAAAGTTATGATCCTCTCATAATAATATGAGGTTAGTATTTACATTGAAAAAAGATTGTCATTGACCGCTATGATCATGCCACATCATCCAAATTTGAATGGTTAAATTTATCTTGAAAGATTTAGGTTATTTAGGCTTAATTGGTTTAACTTGCTAGCAAAGGCTAAAGGAAGTAACAATTAGGACTTTCTTTAATAAAACCTACTCCAAGCCCACCGAGTTAATCTCTCTAATGCATCCCAATGATAAGGCATAGACATTGGTGATGTCGTAATACTTGTATCCATCCTTGTGACCTAAGACCTTATGTTGAGTCAAATCCATTTTTAGTTCAATCCATTCATCATGCAATTTAGACCTATGTCAAAGTTAAAAAAAAAAAAATAACATGGATTAATACAAAATAAAAATTAGCTAAATTAATTAATTAAAATATCAAGCATATAAAAAGGGTTATGAAATTAAATAAAATTTTTTGGTCAATGATGTAGAGTTAATGGATGTCATTTCAACAAAACAAAAAACGTTCAATGTTAAAAATTGAGAAAAGACACTAAAAAGGAAATTGCAACATTTCTTCAAGAACGCTACTCCAATCTAGATAAGAATTAATAGAGAAAAGGTATTATGGAGGTTAGACATGGAAGTCTATATCCATATAGCGACATGACTATAGCCTTCGTAGGTTAGGTCGGATCGCGAGGTTGAATGAATAGATCCTTGGTAGTTGATATCTCCTCCACTTTTGTAGCTTTTTTGCTACAATCTAAAAGAATAAGAAAAAAATAGTTAACGAGTTATGGTTGAACAAAGAAAGAATTAAAAAGTAAACCACATTACAATTTTCATTATGCTTTTCATCTTGGTTTTTGAAGGAAGCAACTTCAAAGAGGAATGAGGCTTAGTGAGAAAGGAAAAGAATATTGAACTTGAGAAATATAAAGGCAAACATATGGTGCTTTATTATAATAACATTAGGTGAATGAGACTTTGGAACAAATTTTGATTTTAATGAGATCAATTCACCTATCAAACTACATTTTTGGCAATACATGCTTTTATTCTTTGATTTAAAAAAGAAACAAAGTACATGTGTGTGTTAAGCATTGTTATGGCATGGTATTAGTGTGAAAGTTTTGTGTTTAAGGGGATTAAGTAGTAATTAGTGGTAAAGTCAAGGAGCCTAAAATGAAAATGGCAAAAGTCTTTTAGGCATAAATTGAAACTCATAGCATTTAGGTAAAGTGCTAAAATGTCCTTATATGTTATTATTTCTTAATAATAGTACCTCATGCTCATTAGTAAGTATGACAAGGATTGTGACTATTAAAAGAAAATGAGAGATGGTTTGGGATAGATTTTTGGTGTCCCAAAATTTAGAAAAAGCTGAGAGAGAAAAAGGGAAAGAAAAGAGAAACTTAATTTCTTACCCAAAATTACATGACTTTCAAATGTTTAAGCTTGGATACTAGGAGCTCGTGACATTGAGAAAGGGAAAAAAAGGGGGGGGTGGGGAAGGAAGTTGAGTAGTTTGCTTGCATATGAGTGACACCTAATTTTATGCTATACGAATGTGTTATATGCTTAACTTAAACTATTATAACTTAAATGAAGCTTGATTGTGCTTCGAATTGAGATGTCCTATTATTAGATGCTAGTGAAAATTTGCTATGTTAAACTTAAACTAGTACAAGATGTTTGAGACTTATGAAATATGATTGTATAAGAGAATTGACATAGACCATGACTTGCATTCATATAGTTACTAAAAGGATAATATGGCCAATATGATTCAAGTATTCATAAAAGAAAAAGAAACATAAATACAAAGAATGTTGGCTAGTTAAACATAGATTTTTTTTTAACATAGTAGACTCTTGTGATCAATACGGAATAAACCCTCGAGGTCAATATAGAGATAGAGTATTCGAGGTGATATTTGACATGTCCGATCATAACTAATAAAATGAGCCTTGTATATGCACAACTTATGTATTTATATGACTTTGATCATCGATTGATATGCTTTCAAAAATGAAAATGATTATTAAGTTATTGTGAAATGCTTACCGTGTTTGAACTTGGAAATTTCTACAATGATTTCATTATGAAGTGGTGACTCACTAGGAATTGTATGTTTTGTTTTTAGATAGGTAGAAGGTAGAAGTTTTAAGCTACATTTAGAAGCTTATACATAGCATGATGA